AACGTGTAAATTTTTGTAACAATGAGTGAAGTTTTCGATGAAAACGACAAAGCAGCTATCCTTATGAGTGATGAAGCGCATTTTCACTTGGAAAGAGCAGTCAACAATCAGATTTTACGATTTTGGTGTGCAAAAAATCCTCAAAAACGTAACTGAGAGACCTCTTCATAGATTAGGTGTGACTGTGGTATGCGGTTAGTGAAAAGGGATCATTGGTCCTTATTTTTTTTAAGACAACGATGGCGGAGCAGTGAGAGTAAATGCACAACAGGACCTAGAAATGTTGGAAGAATATTTCTTGCCAGAACTGCGCTGTCAATGTGTAGAGATGTGTAATGTATGGTTCCAACGAGATGGGGCAACAACCCATGCGGCTCGCATTAGTATGGAATTCCTTCGGCGAACATTCCCTACAAGAGTTATCTTGCATTTTGGTGATGTCACTTGGCCTTCTCGCTCACCGGATCTTACAATTCCAGATTTCTTTCTATGGGGATTTTTGAAATCTAGAGTTTACATAAACAAACCACAAACAATTCAGGAACTTAAAGAAACTATTTGCCAGGAAATTAGCGCTATTCCTAGAGATATGTTAGCAAAACCCGTAGCAAGTTTTTAGGAACGCCTTCAACACTATAAACAAGCAGAAGGCGACCTTAGAGTTGTAATGTTTAAATGCTAAATTTTAAGTAATTTTATTCTGAAATTGCCTATTGTGTACACTGTTTTTCCACTCATAAATACATTTTTTGCTCTGAATCTCCCGAGTACTCGTTATTTGAAAAACATTTGTTTCTCGGTAATCACCCTGTAAATCAGACAAATATATATAATAATCATCAATCAAAATCCACTTGCAAGAAACCAATAAGAAGTGAGTGAGATGAACTTAGGTAGCAAGGTAACCTCAACTTGAAGGTATTATCAAACTATCGTAGCAAATACCACAAACATCAACAACAACACCACAAACCACAAACATCACAAGACTAAAAATACCCTTCAGTACCCTCAAACAGCTCATGGTAAAAAAAAATATCTATATATTTACTTGGGATCAACCCAGTAAAAGTTAACAGATTAAATCAACAACTACATTATACAAAACTATTTAAAATTAATTTGTTTATGAATGAGGGCTAGATACATTTTTTGTTCCAAAATTGTCTAGGGGAATGATAATTTGGTAAAACTAGCCAAACAAATAGAACATACAAATGAATACATTAGTGAACCCCTAAAAAACCACACATTTGATTTATTACCATTTTCTAATTCAGTAAACTTCACAAGACTAGGTAACCTTCCTAACTTCCCCTCTGAACATTAAAAAAAGCTTCAAACAACCAAAAATCCATACAAAAAAAAGGGTCATTTACAAAATATCCAGAGGATGAGCCTGTAGGGGCTGGATCATAGTTGAAGGACTCTACGCTGCCTCTAGGTTCTGTGTAGTACTGAAGACAGTTGCGAGGGGCTAGTAGGGGATGGCCAAGGGTCATTTGGGTCACCCTGACCCTTAGGTCACGGGGAACTCCTTGGGCTCCGGACGACAACAGTGTTAGTGAGACTGGGCCTTCCGTCTCATCCACATCAACGTACACTACATGCAACAGTAAGTGAAGAGTGGATAGATCATAGGAAATTCAATTCAATTCAATTTGTTTTATTGGCCATTAGTAATCTATATTTTCACTCACTTTCTACAAACGCTTAGACATTAAGTTTCACACATATCAACACTTTGTCAGGGTCAAACAATTTATTTCTTGTCTGGGGGTATCATTCTGAGGATAGAATCGTAGAGGGTAAGAATCCAGGTCATACATAAACAGTTTTCTGAAATGTTAGGTGTATTAGCAGTGGTAAGATTGTGACTTCTATTACTGATAAATATCATCACGCTCTGTCTATTTTAATTTAACTCCAATGAGTAACTTTTATCATGAGGGGTGGATTTCTGTTCAAGGGCAAACTCAAAATCTTTCAGATTAATACAATATAGTGACATTGTCAGTGCCTGCGGGGTTGGATTCCAGGACAGCATGATTTCTCTACCCCTTCATCAAGACTAGAAACAATCAACTCTATTCACATCCAATTAATCTTACTCCTGAGTACAAAGTACTTAATAAAAAAAAAGAAATGAGTTAAAATTAGTGGGAGCAAAGTTGTGACAAATCATTAGGTGGGGATTGTAATCAAAATTCCAGTCATTTGAAGTTGAACCCACAACACTACTGCTTAAGAGTGCATGGCAGTTTAACCACTTTCCTTCCATAACAAAAAAAAAAAAAAATCGCGAGGGGGGGTGGTTGTGACGCTTAGCGCCACTATTTTATATAGTGCCACACAACTAAATCGCTGGCCTTGCGATCGGCGCGCCTCCTTCGGTCTGCCGCTTGCCTTTTTTCGAGAAACGTCAAGGAGCTACGAAATTGAGTTTTCCTCCGTCTTGTCTGTCGCCGGTCTTCGTTCCCTTCGTTGGATTTTCTGATCGTCCGTTTACTGAGATCGACATGCCCTCGTTTTATCAGGATGGGTCTATAATTATTAAGTAGAGCTAAGACTAGGATGACAGGCTAGATTAACAATATAAGGGGAAGCTGGCAGGCTTTCGCCCCACTCGCAGAAATGTAATTCCAAAAGAATGATTACCTCGCTTAACGAGGTAATCATTCCTAGACATGCAATAATCACCACGTTGAAAGTTTAAGTATTAATTCATTCAGGAATCGCCTTATGAGTCCAAATTGGTTCAGTAACGAGTTAGGGAACGAAATTTACCTGTTTTATCATCATTTCCGTTTTACACTAATTAGCAGTTTAGTTTGGAAGGTTAGCTATAGTTCTGTTTAATAGTTAAAAATAAGTAATCAAAGCTGGCTTGGCCTGCTTCTGGTCTGGGTAAAGATTTCCGCCCTCTGGTTCCCCAACAACGTTTCCAATTAAATTGTCATTTTAAGATGGTAGTAGAGTACAGCACGTTCTTAATTGCAACATGCTAGGGTCCTCCAGGCCCTAGCACCCACAGCAGCCAATTACCAACACGTTTAACTTAATTACAATTAATACATCACATCACCACAGAAACCATAACCAGTTTTCACCCCCAATTATCTCTCCTTAGGGCCACAGAGTGCATGGCAGTTAAACTGAGTACCTATCAAAACTATCGGCCAGTTCAATTGATTTATGCTGAAATCTTGTTTATTTACTTAAATAACAATATAAATTGGTGTAAATACCTGCTTCTATGTAATCCAAATTGTTGCAAAGGCACACAACTAGTTTTGACTTCACAAAGAAGTAATCTTCAGGCGTCCAGGGGATGTCAAAATCACTTCATCAGATACACATACAGTATTGTACATTTACACACAAACACATATACGAACAACATAGTTTCCAAAAAAGGTACATTTACAACGAATGGGAGACGAATAAAAATAGTAACTTAGGGATGATGTGTCATGACGAGAAGGACGCTACTGTTTGGACGCTACATTCATCTTTCGTGAAGCATCATCCCTAAGTTACCATTTTTATTCGTCTCCCACTCGTTGTAAATGTGCATTTTTTTTGTAACTATGTTCGTGTTTGTGTGCGTATTTGTGTGTAAATGTACCTACAGTATGTGTATCAACGACCTTCTGAAGGAGTGATTTTGACATCCCCTGGACGCCTGAAGATGACTTCTTCGTGAAATGGAAACTAGTTTTGCAGCAATTTGAATTACATAGAAGCAGGTATTTACACCAATTTATATATTCAACGGAATCTGGAGGCTAACATCAAAAATGCAATTAAATAACAAGTTTTAGTGTTTTACTGTATGACTGTTTATCATAAATAAACCGACTGTATGATATCAGTGAAATGTTGAACACAAGGCAATCTGTCAGGGACTATGAGTAAATGGTGACCAGTTTGTTTTGAGAGAAATTAATGTAATTAAATTTATAATCTGAAATCTTGAATAAAGAAGTGAGAGCACTCACCATGTTTGCCAGAGTTAAAGCCACAGATCGCAGGAATTATGTCATTTCTATTCTGCCCAGTCACTACAATCCTGTCCACAACACAGTTCCCTTCCACAGGTCCTGCAAGCTGCAAAACAAATGTTATTAAGGTATCCATCTAAAAATGTGTTGGTAATACGTTTTCCATACCAAACCAACAATTTTGTAACATGCATACAAACACTGTGTCCTTTGTGACTTTGCCTCAAAAATCTAACATGTTCAAAAGTTGAAATCTCAAAAAACTAAACCTGACACTAACCTGACATGTTGGTATTCTTATGCATTATAGTTTGATTACATGTAAGATTGATAACGATTAGAGTTATCATGTTATGCTGATATCATGTCAATATGCTTTCATCTTCAGAATATTATCCAAAATATTAAATATCATATAAAACTTGGTAACAACAGAATATAGTCCCAAGAAAACATAGTGTAGTCCCAACACAGGTATTGTCTACTAATCTACTATGGTAATAAAGCTTTCACAATGTGACTTAAAATAGGTTTTATAGTATGACAATTTATGTACATTAAAGGTCTAAAACAAGTAATACTGTAACCACCAAGCAAGCTAGTTCAAATTTGACACCATCATTACATTCTTACCTTCATCACTATTATTCTAGATTATTAAATAAATCTACACTTTCAATTATGAATGACTATTGTACACACTTGGTAATTAACATAGAGTGACTTATTTTCATAAAACATGAGCCTTCCATTTAAAAGTCCAGCAAAAACTTCTTTACCACTTTATTCAAACCATCTTTACCACATTTCATAAAGGACAAATAAATTAAAACAATGTGAAAACAACCTGAAAGTTGTCGAATGAGAGTCTGAATTGAACGACGCTGGGGTGAGACTTGTAGATGGTGATGGAGCAGATATATACTCCAGAGTCCATGTCTTGGGAGACCGCAGCGGAAGTGATGTAAGTGTTGTTGACTACTGAGCTTTCCCCACATGTCCTTACCACTGGAAGGTAAACATAACAACTCCTTAGATTAAATAAAGTTACTGATGCTTTCCTATTATGATAATGATTTGTATCAAATGCTGAACTATAAAATATTATATTTTACTTATATCTTCAATTATGTTTCTCTTGTAGGGTATGTGTTTTTAACTTTAAGTTATTGTGTAGCTGTTTATGTAGCTGGTGTTGTAGGGATTGTTTTGATTAGTAAAAGACTTACATAAAAAATAAAAGATTTACATTTACATACAAACACAACATGCACAATTGAGATGAGCCACATAATTCTTTAATTGTTATCATTCAGTGGTTGTTTCATGAAGGGGGGGGGGCTAAAGCCGCCTGGAATTATAAATTTAAACATACATTTTATCGTAAAAACGTGAAAGAGGTTTTTGGACACTGTTCTAGATGATAAAATGGTTTTAAAAGTCACCTAACAGCTTAAAAAGTAGAGGCGCCCCTAGAGTTAGCCCGATCTTGACAAGGTCCTAGTACCACCGCTGTTATCATTGTCTGTGTAAAAATGGTATGTTATAACCACCGTTACACATACATGATCACATATCATGTCTGGTTGGTAGACATGATCTACGTTAAAAGAAGCAATCTGTTATCGTAAATTTTTAGTGGTCAAATACTGATGGAATTATCTTTGTATGTGTTAATATTATCTTTGGACTATTAAGTATCAATTTGGACGATGTAAATCAGTGCTGTAAGTTGATTTTATTATTAGCTAAAGCTTTGATAACCGCAAAACCGAGACTGATAAGACATTGCGGCAGCGTGTTTTGTACGATTGCGCAATCATCCCCGCGCAGCCGTGTTCAGGACTACCAGTTACAGTGAATTCTGCCCAGCCGATGCTCCCTGCCACTGCCGACGCTGAGCCGCTGACAGCGTATTTAAGCCTACACTTTCAGCGAAGCAACTACCACGTCACTCAAACGAAGGTGTACCATCTCAGGTATTGCAGGCGCACTCCATTGGTAAACTGTGCACACACTTTCCCATCTTATTATTTTATTCTCTATGGAATGACCAGGCGATTTAATGGTTGGTTGTACGGTCTATTCTCTGTAGTTGAACAAATTTTTGTACTGAGACGGAAAGTTTAATTTCTGAATTCTGTCTCCAATTAAGTAAGCTTGTAGCTAATAGTGAATTGAATTGTTTTGATCACCTAATTAATGTCACAGCAAAAGTTGTTTTGGAATTTAATGTTATACGTGGTGAGCATCTAGATACCAATCAGAGATTAAAAGATGCCAAGTACAAAATAAAAGAGTTGGAAGGCTTCCTGGACGAGTCCAAGCAAAATTTTTGGTTGAAATTAATTAAGTGAATCTTTGGTTGTGTTGTAAATGATTATCTTATAAGTGAAAAACAAACTCTGGAATGTAGGATACATGACAGCTTAAGAAAGGTTTCAAGTAAAAGTATAAAAGATAGAGACTTGCAATCTAAGTTTGATACACTTGTTGAAGATTATGATAGGCTACAATGTGTGAATAGTAAATTCATTGTAGAAAACAGTCGATTAAAGAAACTGCTTGACAAGAAATTGTTAGAAGCAAGTGGCTAGCAGCAAAACTTTGTGATGTGCCTGAAACTCTCAACAACCTGAAAGCTACAATGATAACAAAAGTAAGTGGTTATCAGACAATCTATTTTCGTCATACTTTAATTTGTTTAATTCTGAGTAAAGATGTAATATTTATGGGAGCATCAGTTACCCACATTCTAAAGCTATAAAATAAGATACAAGTTGAAGCGGTGCTATCTGAATTGGATTTTAAAAACAAGTGACTTGTTTTCTTCTGTTTAAACAACTCTCTAGATGATGGAGGTGGAACCCACTGGAGTCTGTTAGTGCTAGATACAGTCTCAAACACTGCTGTGCACTACGAATCAACCCAAGGCATGAACAGACACCATGCTGAGATTCTGATAGAGAATCTAACCATATACTCCAACGTCAAACTTGTAGGGTTTAGTGTGGCCCAACAGACAGCCAGCTATGAGTGTGGGCTACATGTCATTGTCAACGCTTGGCTGCTGTTAGTGCAACTCTGCTCAGAGACTTCAGCTCCTACCTTCCCACATCCTAATAACCCACAGATTATGACAACCACTGAGACCGCTTCTACCAACAGAAATATTAAGAATAAAACTACTTAAAGTCCGGTTTCATAATTGATCAAACATGGTTCTAAGAACAAAACTACAAACAAAGAAAATCCCTAAGCATGTAAACTAGACAAAGACATTTCCACTCCTCTCCAAGCACCAAAATAATAAAAAGAATATTCTTATTTTAGCAGACAGTCATGGGAGATACCTTAGTAAAAACCTAGCATCTATCATGGCAGGGGAATGACTACAATATAAACTGTATTTTTAAACCAAGCGCTACGATGGAAAAGGTTTTATAAAAGTAGAAGAACTTACCAAATTATTTATGAAAGCCAATGTGATAGGAGGATCGAATAATGAAATTGTGCAGGCTGAGTTAAGCTACAATAAGAACAATTTTGAACAAGACAAATCACAAAAATGTCATTGTCTCTGCTCTGCCTTATAGACATAGACACACCAGGATTGAATAGAAGAATAACCTATATAAATATGGACCAGCACTGAAGAGTCTGTAGGAGAATACAGTGGGGAGTGATAAGTGAAGTGGGGAGAGCAAGCCCTATTGTATTGTTTCCATCAAAAAATAACACAGAGGGACTTCACTTTAAACTCCCCGCTCGTGCTAGGTATGGAAGAAAAATAATACAACCTAAAAACATTTTTGTCAATAAATATAACAGTAAAATAAAAATATTGAATCAGAACATTCAACATTTAGCAAGCCGCATCGAACCACTAGAAATTATTTTAAACTAAAGTAACCCCGATACAGTAGTTTTAACAGATCATAAATTAAATCAAAATGAGATCTCTAGATTGCATGTAAATAAATTAAAATTACTTTCTCATTATTGCCGCACCATCTCGACGGGTGGTGGTGCTGCCATCTTTGAGCGTGGAGCTGTAGAGTGGAGTCCAGTTGTTATTCCTGAAGTGTCCTTACATGAAGAAAAACAGTTTGAGAGCAGAATGTTTGTTTTAAATCCGATACTGGGTCATTCTAAAGTACTTAATTTCTAAAGTTTCATTTTTAGGGAATTTCCCATGCAGGGAATAAGCTATTACCGTAGGTCTCGTGGTGAGACAAGACCCAGGACCGATTTACTAATTCGTTTTGAGGTCCCCAGAGGCCAAAAACACCATCCTTTCAAATTCATATATATATATGTCCGTTAGCGCGATAACTATAGAGCAAAAATGATCCGATTTTGATTAAATTTGGCACAAACGTGTAAACCTACGTTTATTCAAACGAGTTTGCGAACCAGCATAATCGGACTATGGGAACGGGGTTTTATGAGGTAAAAATAGATTTTTCCCATTTTTTACCATAAAAACACAAAATTTCATATTTCTCTCCAAACTATTTTGTAGGGCTTAAAAAAAGAATTAATTTTGTATATTGAAGCATTGTTGTGTGCCCAACAGTTTGGGAGATAATTTAAAAAAAATGTAAATTTAAAATTCCCATGTTATTCTTACGGAGAATAAATCAACTGTTTAGTTTACTTGTTTATTTAACCAAATTTGGAAATTTTGTTTGTTTCATTCTAAGCTATCAACATTCAATAAAAAAACACACCTCAATATCTTCCCTGTACCAGCAAACCTAAGTACTCACCAAAATTAATGTTATTTAGATAGGAAACAAATCTGACAACGTTAAGGAAATATTTTAGTAGAAATCCAGCCAGGTAAATGGAAATTCGCTTAGTCTACAGGTTGGCTGCGGCGGGTTATTTTTACATCGGCTAAGCAAGCTATTAGACATTGTACTAGCTAGGAATAAATATATTATAGTGGCTGGTGACATAAATATTAACACATTATGAAATGATAGGAATGCCGATCTAAACTCCGTTATAGTTAGACATGAATTTAAATATCTGGTTGATTTTCCCACAAGGGTAGTAGGGCCCTCGGAATCTGCATAAAAAAGCAAATTGATCAAACATAAGAACCTAATCCTAATCTAAACCTAATCTAAAAATAGAGGGACTGGTTACATATCTGTATGATCATGATGCCCAAATTTTGACCTTTGATAAATTCTCGCGGTCCTGTAGACTTAAATATCGTCTTCGATGATCGCGGCAATATATGAACATATCCCACGGTCGTGAGGATACTATCGTCTAGCGGGAATGAAGCAAAATCATCATAATGTCCTGCGGTTGTGTGAACATTTTCATCGTCTTCTGCGATCGTGGTAAAATTCTGCTCATCCCTGGCGGTCGTGTATAGACATATTATCATGTACCGCGGTAAGGGAAACGTCACTGTTGTAATGTGTGATCACGGTAAATTGAAAATTCCAGGTATAAATGCAAAATTCACGCATAATTCCCGGTTCAAAAAACTTACATATAAATCCCAATTTCCCGGTTGGTGGACACCCTGTTATATAAAAATATTGCGAAGGGGCACTACTATAAGTTGTGCCTAGTGCGCTAACAGTGTCAAAAACGGGCTTGAGTTTACATTGTTTCATCTGTGTTGTTGAAAAAAGATAACTCAATGGATAATGCTTGCTAAAGGCAATCATTAAAGTCAAAATTTGCGACTGTAACAATCTTTAAACCTCTGCCATAGAAGTTGCTTATCTTGAAAAGCCTCTACAAATTATCTATACCAAATTGACACAACTGTTCAGAATTATTTCTTATTATTTTGATTGTAATCTCACCAAAGCAGCAGACACCGAAGCCTTGGGCACATGAACCGTGGGGCTGCCCTCCCAAACTATGACATTCTGAGGAATGGTAACAAACTCCCACCATACCCTCCTCTGAGTAACACAGCTCATTGGTGAAGTTAACAATGGTGAAAATGTTCAAGACTGAAATACCAATCCAGACTTTAGAACAAGATTCTATGCATGTTTCACTGTGATTAAAAGATACCTGTAGAATAATTCTTGTACTAATTTTAGTTACCACTGTAAACTGGTTGGTTCATTCTGTGAATAAATTATTTGAATTGAACCCAACAAATTGTTTGGACACTTGCTTTCCAAAATCCAATAATTATTACTAAAAATCATTTCATTACAACTCAAAAGGTCGGGTTTCTTTATACATTTTTTCATTCCAGTACACATAAATATATCAGTACTTTTCATCTACAAGTTACAACATAAGCTTAAGAGGATCCACAAAACAAGGATATTAACTTTCAGGAGGCTGATGAAGTTTTAACTGCTTAATAAAACTATAGTTCGGCCACTTAGAAAGCAACCTGTGCACTAATGCTAACCAATGCTGGAGGAGGTTGCTTTCTAAAAAAACTAAGATTTTTTATTATAATTTTTGTTAAGATTTTATTGTGCATCCCATATACATTTTACTTTGTTTACATTATTTTAAATTCCATTTTAAACTTTATATCCAAAGTCAAATTGTAGAATCTTTGTGTTTCAACTGAAAATTTTACAATTTGACGAGTCCAATTTGGATATAATGTTTTAGTATACCACTTGAAAATGCCACATTTGGCAAAACATATGTAGTGGATTATAAAACACTATATTTGAACTGCAAGACGAGGTATGTGATAGTTTAGAGTTTACATTTTACTACAACATATTTTGAAGAATTTGTAAAGAAAACTCAAAATTAACATGAACAAATGACTTTTTCCTACAGTTACCTAACAATGTACATGTTTTCTCACTGATTTAAGAAAGCAAAGTGGCCAATTCGCTCATCAGTGAGAGTGAGACAATGTTAACATTGTCTCACTCTAATTACTTTGTCTCACTCCAGATTTGCAACGTGAAGGCACGAACTAGTGAGCGCGTAACATGCAGGCAACGCCGTATGCGCGCGAAATACGTTGGCAGCACTGGCTGTAAATCAGCTGGTCAGCTGTTGTACTGTTGTATTTGTCACTTCACATTAAATGTTATATTTAAAGTTCACTTCTGTGTAAAAATAGGTTATGTTCCTTCACAAATTTATTTGTTTTATGGTAACTGTAGGAAAAGTATAATGTGCAACTCGAGTTCAAAGTACAATTGCCTCAATCGAGAAACCATTCCTCACTCGCCTACGGCTCGTGAGTAAGGATTTCTCTCGAGTGAGTCAATTGCTCACTTTTCTCACTAGTTGCACAAATAACTATTGTTATTACAGGATACACAATGTTTATCTCCACAAATATTAAGGCTTACAGTGGATTCTTATACAATTATTATAAGGGATGGAAAAGTATTTTTAATATACTAAGTCTGTGTGTGAATAAGAGCCTTTTAGTACTGTTTACAAGGTCTTAGTATCATCACTGCCAAAAATGGGTAAAAGTATTTTATGTTTAATGAATATTGCAGAGTAGGATGGTATGTATAAACTGCATACTTACGTTTAGCAATTTTATCAGCACCGACTTTGATATCAATTCCAGATTTCTTAGTTGGCTGAACTGTATTGTTTGCTGAAATAGTTTTATTTCTTTTCTTTATGGAAAAGTGCAATTTATATGGATCTGTAGTATTGAGTTTCTGTATTTTTGCTTTGTACTTCATAATTTTCACATTATGAGCAGTAACATCTTTATTAGTTTGTTTTTGTGTCAATTGAACATTATTTTTAATACGAGAACTGTGACTTCCAAAGTGATCAACCAGCACAAATTTATTTCCATCGATTTCATTACTTATCTTTTTGTAATATTTTAATGATCTTTCACTTGAAGTCACATTGTGTTTTGGAAGGTAAATTGTTCGAGTTTCGGATCCATTGTTCTGAATTCGGATAATGTTTACATCATCAAATGAATGTCCAGAACAAAGCACTACTTGAAGCACTGCAGACAACATGAAACTTTTGAATAACTTATTCATCATTTTAGGCACCTAAAAAGTCGTATAAATTAGTTCTTTTTGTTCTTATACTTTGAGTATGATAGTATGTGAGTGCCTTGATCTTCATCTGTTTGTGTACATATTGACCGAGAAAGGAACTACCAGCCAGATTAACAAGAACACGTAGCAGAGCCGGCCTTCGGTGGAGGGGGCACAGTGCAAACATTTAGAGTGGGGCCCC